ATGTATCAACACTAGAAACCGAAATCGCCTATTTTGACCTTTTTTGACTGCTGAGGCATCCTTCCGGTGGTCCAAATCTCTGGAATTTCTAGCGGTTGGCTGCGCCGCGATGATATTTATCACATATTAAATTGAGAAAATCCTCAGATATCAAGAACAATAAAAATTCGATAAAATACGGCAATTTTTTAAGCAAAAAACCTTTGATTGTTGGGGGTGGGTTTTGAATTTATTTTGAACGTTCTCGGAATCCAACACTCTTCTATTTTTAATATGTGATAGCTAGAATCCCATCGGAATCCAACACTCTTCTATTTTTAATATGTGATAGCCAGAATCCCAAGGTACATTCTGTGCAAATTTGAAGGCAATCGGAGCACAGGAACGTTGCCTGGGTAGAGCAAAACAACCCGGTCGCGAAAATTTACCTATACTTCAAAGTGATTATCATGTTGTGTTATGATCGCCATTTTAGATCAATCTGAGTCCCTGATCCACCGTCATCTACCAAACCACTCCGAAATATAGCCAAAATCCCAAAATCGACCGTAATTTCTTTTTGCTTCGCGCATGTGCCACGCTGGAACCAAAGGTACGTTGACTACCAAATTCCGGCGAGGAACTTTTCACGTTGGTACCTAGGTGCACTGAAAACTTCAAGGCGATACCTGCATTCGTTCAGATCGTTTGTTCTTGACACGGTTCCTGCCGTTCGTTTTTTTCCGCCATTTACGGCTTCTGTAAGGGCGAAAAAAGTGGAATTTCGCCACGAAACCGGCACCGATTGTCCCAAAACCATGAAATTTGGACACAATATGCCAATTACCACTCTGTGACTTACTCCCATTTTGATCAGATTAAAAAAAGGAGTTTCAGCAAAAAAAAAACAACCGATTTTCGGAATTTAAATTTGGTTTTAATTAATTTTGAAATTCCAAATGCAAAGGGATCTTATCGCCTCTTCCGTATGTGATTGCTATTAGTACTATACACATTATCCGTAAAAGACATTTTTTTTTTTAAAATGAGCGCAACACCAAAAACCGAAATCGACTATTTTGTCTTTATCATACATTAAATATTATATGCCATCGGTTAATTTTTATACGCCCACATTGAAATTGAATTTCAGCGATTTCCGATAATTACTGTCAGAGTTATGGCCCTTCATCACTTAAAAAAATTCTTGTGGATGCTCTAGTGGCCAAAGTTAATGTCCGGTTGACTTTAAATTTATACACAGTGGTTAAGGTCATGAGACGAAGTAGGCGATTGATTTTCAGCGATATCTGATATTTACTGCCAGAGTTGTGGCCCCTGATCACTTCAAAATATCTTGTGGACGCTCTAGAGGCCAAAGTTAATATCCGATTGACTTTAAATTTATGCGCAGTGTTGTGGCCCCTGATCACTTCAAAATATCTTGTGGACGCTCTAGAGGCCAAAGTTAATATCCGATTGACTCTAAATTTATGGTCATGACACGAAGATGCCTACAGTATTGATTTTCAGCGATATCTGATATTTACTGCCATTTCCGATAATTACCGTGAGAGTTATTGCCCTTGATCACTTTAAAAAATCTTGTGGACGCTCTAGAAGCTAAATTCAATATCCGATTGACCTTAAATTTATACAGTGTTTAAGGTCATGAGATGAAGAAGCCAATTGATTTTCAGCGATTTCCGATTGAATCTTTTGAAAATCACACCTAACTCTAAAACTAAAGGCAAGAAACGGGCCGGTTTACATTGAAGCACAACTAATTCCTGTCCTGCGTACTCTATAAATATAATATACAGTTTTCTAAATATGCCTTGGATGGTAGCCACAAGTCGACAATTTTTGTTTTGTATTTTTCCCATTTTGTTCATAAGGTAAATGTAATTTTTCAGATACCTGATGACATTTATACTTATTGTTTCAATAGATTCTAATAACCCCCTTTGCAGTTAATATGAAAGCTTTCATATCTGCTATGCAGATCTAGTTATATATTTATTATGATTATCATTATTATATATTTATTATGATGATTATCATTATTATATATTTATTATGATTATCATTATTATATATGTATTATGGCAATTTGTGGGATTCCCCTTAAGCTGTTTTCCATGTACACATTTTTGCAGCCTTTCAGCACACATTTTCATCAGTTTACATTTGCATTTGACTGATTTTTTGGCCGTGAAAATGCGTACATGGAAAATGGGCCTAAGGCTCATTTAAGTGTAATATTATGTGGATTAGTTGAGAATGTTTCGTTATCCAGAGTTTTTGCTAATAAATTCATTTATATGTAAATTCATTGTTCATTCTTCGAAATCTGACTTTGTCTAAAAGAAAAGAAAGGTATATTTAGACGCATCTTCAATAAAAGGCCTTGCTTTAACTTCGTACATCTTATCAACCTCTCCACGTAATACCCTGCATATTACGACACTAATTCGATTGGGTCCTCACCCTGCTTGGAAACCTATCAGATGATTCGATCATTGCGAATACCAAGTCTGGCGGTTTCCAGCTAAAATGTCTACCTGTGATAATCGAGTTGCAAAGTTCAAGGTTCGTTCAGTGTCAAGGTTCCCGTGGAAGTTGGTATATTTGATTTGACAGTGTTTGTGTCACAACATCTGATTGGATGCTACTGTTCATATGTGTGCTAGGGTCGCCTGTCCAACCTCGTGGGTTTTCTCTGGGTCCTCCGGTTTCCTCCCACTGCTAAAGACCCCTACGCGCAAGTGAATTATTGAAATAAAATTAAACCATATTTTAGTCCCGAAATGACCTAGTTTGTGTCGAGTGGACGTTAAACCCCATTTCTCTCTCTCTCTTATAACGTAGCTATAAGTTCGGGAATTGCAGACCAGTCTAGTAACGTCCAGATGTTGTAAAACTTGCGGTCGTCGTTGCTTCAGGAACATCATGTAGATACTCGATTGAACATTCCGGAATTGATTTCTCTCAGTCCTTCGATAGATGTCAATCAAGCGAGTGAACGGGAGAATTTCAGTCGACAAGGCAACTCAATATTATACCATCTAAACCCAGATCCTATTTCGTTTCGTTTTTTTTATTGTTCAAAATTCCGTTTTACTTGTCTTTACTACACTAGGATCTGGAAGAGTTGTTATATAACCTGTGTTCTAATTGATGTGGGTGATAAGCCATTGAAACGGTCTGTTGCAGTGAGTTCTTGGCGTGCAATGCACAGAACTGTGGGTATCCTACTAGAAACATCATCACTGATGTCTGACGTCATAGAGTTAAAAGTCGGTATTTTGACCCCTGACGTGACCTATTGCTATAACTGGTCAGATCTTCATGTAGTGTAACGCCATCGAAAGTATAAAAAAATGAAACGAAAGATAGATCTGTAATTTAATTAGATGGATCTTAACCAATCAGGCCGAATAGTTAACATGTCCGCATTTGATCATAAGATCTGTCATTGAGTCAAGTGGCATGGTTTTGATTCCCCGCTTGTACGTGACAGGAGTATTTCCGCCTTTTAACCTCTTTGGTTTTCTCCAGTTTCCTACCACAGGTAAATACCCTTACACACTAGTGAATTAATGAAATAAAATTGTATTGATACCATATGTTAGTCCCAAAAAAGCCTAGTTTGTGTCGAGTGAATGTTAAACCCCATTTCTCTCTCTCTTAACCAATTCACCACAGCTTAATCATTTAATTCCATCACGATTCTGCTCACACAACACTTGTTTTAGGGACTGGCAGAACCGTGACGAGACCTAATGTCAATAGAGTAATCTGGAGAATTTTGGGCTACAAGACAAAGTGAATATGATATACAGTAGAGAATAGAATTTTATTGCATCGAAATGCGCTTTAGGGACAAAATACAAGTACAAAAATTATACACAAGCACAACCAGACAATAAAAATGAAATCAAATGTGGTTTAACGTCCTACTTTTCTGCACCATCTGGTTCAGGGGGCGGGGGGATGATGGCTGAAAGGTTAGCGTGTACATGTTGCATCATAGGGTCTATCATTGAGTCAAATGGTGTGGTTTCGATTCCCCTGTTGTACCTGACAAGGAGTAGGGTCGCCTGTCCAACCTCGTGGGTTTTCTCCGGGTCCTACGGTTTCCTCCCACCACTAAAGACCCCCATGCACAAGCGAATTATTGAAATAAAATTGAACTATGTGTTAGTCCCGAAATGGCCTTGTTTGTGTCGTGTGGACATTAAACCCCATTTCTCTCTCTGTTTTGTGTGACAAGGAGTAGGTCACCAATATCACCAGATTCCGTGGTTAAATCTTTTTCAATCTATCTACACTCTTGTCAAGTTTTTTGCTTGGGGATTTTTACTTTTCGATTATATTTGAAAGAGATGCCACAAAATATTAAACATACATTATGCAAGAGCTAAATCTGCCTATTGCAAGTCTTTCTTTAGGCCTAAAATGTTATCTGAATTATTAATTAGACATTAAATAACTTATCCAGACCATAATCAACTCTCAATGACATTGTTAGCCTGTAATATTTAGTGGATTTGAATACATTTAGTGATGATGGATAACTTAACGTAAAAATGGATAATCAAGACTTTGTTTTTTATCGTACCAACTTTAGTAATATGATCGCTAGTCCTAAAATTGAATCTCTAATATCGGTTCAGAGTGAAGCAATTTCACTGAAATTTTCTGTTTTCATTATCTGTTTTGTAACTATTATAGAGAGAACTATCAGCTCATTATCTTACCTAATTCCCCTGTAAGTAATGAAGCCTGCTTCCAATCACTGCATAGGCTGAGAAGAATGTTGGGAGGTAGTGTGGATGAAAATTAGTCTAAGTGACTAGAATTTTGTTTCATGCGCCAAATTTTAATTCATTGGCATTTATGTGCGTTTAAATGTCATTTTCATATAACACATTTTGGTTAGCAATTGTGAATTACTCGGGTTGATATTTTATAATTTCATCGGACGTCATCATACAAAGGTCATAGGTCATCGTGTCGTCTGCCATCTTGTTGGGGTTGAAAGCTAGACTATTGATTTTGAAAACAGAAGTAGAAATGTGTTATTTCTGGGCGCAACAACAATTCAGATCGAGAGGAATTTAAAAAAATCGCATTATTCTGTCCCTAAAGTAGATCAAACAAGGACACTTGTCAAAATTTACGGGTTTCCCGTTTGACGTCATTTTCGGTCATGCGCAGTGACTGGCCTTTTTACTCACAGAACTCCAGAATTTCAGGAACTTATAAACCACTATGTGTTATTGAGTGAAATGTGGTATTTTTGAGCGATATAGGGCATTTGCCACACCTATTAATAAACACAAAAACATAGGCCTTGCCTAATGGAACACATGGTAGGCGAAAATAGGGCAGGAAAACAAAGGGAAGACTGGATTCCATCACCACAGCAGAGTGACCGTCACTCAGTTATGATTTGTTACTCAGACTGGTAATTAAAAATAATGCATGTATACAAAATATTGCATTATAAATTTCTTGTAGTTAGGTAAATGTAGGGACTACATGCAGGTCGACACAATAACATTGACAGTTGGTATGAATGAATTATGGAACTATACGGTGGCTCAGTTTGTAGGACATTTGCTTGCTAAACTGGAGGTCCCGTGTTCGTTCCCTGAGTTGGCTGAGAAAGTTCATCAGGGTTTTCCGGCGTGGTTTCTCCATGTCTGTGAAGCACGACAAAGGGTGTGGCAACGCATAGTCATTCGGATTGGACAAAACCCGAGGTCGATCCAGTGCACGTAAAAGAACCCTTGACAGTTGAAATTTGAAATAAGAGTACATGTACTATGTAGGCCATAATGTCGCTGTCTGGGCAAAATTTCCCTCATTGTTCACTGCATATAGCGTCTGCCTGTCTTCATTAGCCCAGTCGGAGCCGAACATTTGGTATGCATTGAGTATGAAATCTGTTGGTTTTTTTTGGTAATTATACGAGTCAAATAGTTTGATAGGTGTTTCGTAGAATATGGATATTTAGTCAGGCTAAATCTGCCCATTGCAACACAACCACATTTTAATAATTTAAATTAAAAATGTATAATCAAGACTTTGTTTGATCACTATTCATCAATGATAACTTTGCTCAAAATGAAGTAGTTTGATTGAAATTTTCAACATATTCCCTTTTCTAATTTTAAACTATATATGTAGCAAGAACTCTCTTCTATTTATCTTAATCTTACATAATGCATATTTAAAGTAGGTAAGTCTCTAACTCAATATCATCCAAAATCTTCAACATTGAAAACAAGATTTATTTGTCAAATTAAATCAACATTGATGTTGTGATCTTACCGGAATAAGATGGGCTATTGATATCTAATATTTAAGACAAAATAAACATTTTACCATGGTACACGAATCGTGTACCATAATGCGCTCCAGTCCCAGTTGTAAAAAGAGACTTGAGGGACGAGGCTAGACACATTGCACCAAATCGAACAGCGTATGTAGACTGGAATAACCAGACCCTAGAAATTTGCACTCGATTGAGACTGCTGGCTTATTTCGCCGAACATAACTGATTTGAAATTGGAGTGAAAACGGAAACCATTGAATGAAAATCAGTTTATATACATTCAAATTACAGTATTATATGCGTTGTGACCCACTTTTGTCAATTTCTAGGTCCCAAATGTTAGCGATTTAGCTCCTTTAAATACAGTTGGTTTCATGATGAATTTTTTTTACAATTGTCTTTTTCAGGAAATCAAGTAAGTTACTAAAGCTCCAGTCTGACGAAATGAAGGGAGACAATTTTCCAGAGCATGACTACTGCATCAGGGAAACTAATGACGTTAACACCTTTCATCAGTGTATCATATGTGATGAAATTTTTCAGCAATATGACGACTTAGAAAAACACAACAAGCGTCATATTAAAAAAGAGAAAATTGATATGATTGAGGGGAATGAATCTTTTCAAGAACTCAGCGATTCAGAACACTGTACATCGAGTCGATTATATGATAAGGGAAATGAATCTATTCAAGAACTCAGTGACTCAGAACACTGTACATCGAGTAAAATATATGATGAAAGAAATGAATCTGTAGCTATCTCTTCGTATCACTGTAATATATGTGATATGAGTTTTCAACAATACAGTGACATAGAAAAACATAATAAAATACATAAAGAAGTAGAACTTGAAACTGGTCCGTGTGGTTCGAACTTTGAAACTAGAATAACTGGTCCATGTAGTTCGAACTTTGAAACTAGAATAACTGGTCCATGTAGTTCGAACTTTGAAACTAGTGTGACTGGTCCATGTAGTTCGAACTTTGAAACTGGTGTAACTGGTCCGTGTAGTTCGAACATTGAAACTGGTCCGTGTAGTTCGAACTTTGAAACTGGTGTGACTGGTCCGTGTAGTTCGAACTTTGAAACTAGTGTAACTGGTTCGTGTAGTTTGAACTTTGAAACTGATGTAACTGGTCCGTGTAGTTCGAACTTTGAAACTGGTCTGTGTGGTTCGAACTTTGAAACTAGTGTTACTGGTCCGTGTAGTTTGAACTTTGAAACTGGTGTAACTGGTCCGTGTAGTTCAAACTTTGAAACTAGTGTAACAGGTCCATGTAGTTCGAACTTTGAAACTGGTGTAACTGGTCCGTCTAGTTCGAACTCTGAAAATAGCGTAACTGGTCCGTCTAGTTCGAACTTTCCCCATGTTTCAGGTTTCGAGATCTATAATGACCAACCAGTTGATGACGAGATGCAAGACGAAAAATCTATGTGTGAACTATGTCATGGGAGCTATATTTCGTGTCCTTGCGACCATAGCAACCATCTCTACGCCAACGAAAACTTCAGTTGTTATGATCAGGATACTGACGCAAGGACGTTCATATGTACAGTTTGCGGTAAAACTTTTCGTCACAAAATAAACTTACAGCAACACATGTATTATCATATAGAAGGAAAACCACATAAATGCAATGTCTGTAATAAATTCTTTATCATGTATAGCCATTTATTGGCTCACATGAAAACGCATGCTATAAAAGGAAAACCTTTCAGATGCGAGGTATGTTGCAAATCATTTCGACGCGTTACTAGTTTGCAGAAGCACAGAAGCAGAAAAAATGTATGCAACGAAAATAAACCTATGAAATGTGATATTTGTCGAAAAGGATTTGATAATCCGAGTCCGTTTAATGCACACCTTAGAACTCACACCGGAGTGAAGCCATACACGTGTGTTATTTGTAAAAGATCCTTTAAGGAAAAAAGTAAACTAACTCGACATTTAAAGGCTTTGGGACCAGTTCACACAAACCCACTTGTAACCAATAATCAGAATGGTGAGAGAGTCACATCACAGTGTCTTAGTGAGATTGTGTGAGAGAGAGAGAGTTTAACTGTGTCATTTCGGGACTAACATATGGTTCAATTTTATTTCAATAACTACATGCACATAGGGGTCTTTAGCAGTGGGAGGAAGTCGGAGGACTCAGAGAACACCCACGAGGTAGGTTGGACAGGTGACCCTCTTCTTGTCACGTACAACTGGGGAATCGAAACCACGTCAGTTGACTCAATGACAGACCGTATGATGCAACGCGCACGCGCTAACCATTCGGACATCCAACCCCGCTCAGTGCCTCAGTGAATGAATGAAATGGGGTTTAACGTCCTACGTTTCTGCTGCATCGAATGGGCTAATAAAGACGGGCATACGCCATACAGTGTGCTATGAGAGATAGTTTGCCCGAACAGTGGTGCTACAGTCTAGTCTTCTATCGAATTCCAACTGTCAAGGGTTCTTTTACGTGCACTGGCTTCATTATACCAGAGGTCCCAGGCTTACTCCCCGTGTTGACTTGAGAGAAAGTTTTTCAGGATATGTCAGTCTGGTCTTCCCTGGTCGGAGCCACAATGGCTCAGTGGGTAGGATTTTGGCTCGCTAACTTGGAGGTCACAAGTTCAATCCCTGCCTATTGCAGGTCTTTCTTTAGGCCTGAAATGTTATCTAAATTGTTAATTAGACATTAATTAACTTATCCAGACCATAATCAACTCTCGATGCCATCGCTAGCCTGCTAATTTACTGGATTAGAATCCAGTCTGCTGCTTCTGATTAAATAAAAAAAATGGATAATCGGGATTATGTTTTTTATAGTACCGACTTTAATAATGATATCGAGGCTAGGCCAAAAATTCAATCGCTATAATCTCAGTTCAGGGTAGATCAATTTGAGTGAAATTTTCAGCAAATTCCCTTTACATTATCTTGTTTTTAAATTGTTTACTATTATAGTGAGAACTACCAGCTCCCATAATGTATCTGGTTCAATTTTATTTCAAAACACAATACAGTTAAACTTGTAAGTAAATTTATAGTTTTTATTACGTACATGTATATGTAAATAAACAATTTTTCCAACAATCAAAAATTACTTCGGTCTGTGTTTTTTTTTACACTTTACTTACCGTACATGTATCTGTAGATATCAAAGGTCATTCTTATCAGAGACAGAAAGAAATTGGGTTTAACGTACACTTGATACAAACTAGGTCATTTTGGGACTAACATATGGTTAAATTCTATTTCAATAACTCACTTCTATGATCTAGTTTGTATCGAGTGGACATTAAGCTCCATTTCTTGTTGGCAGCAGAAGTTGGGCCCCAAGAACGAAAGAACAAATGATACTGTAATTTATTTTTATTTGTAGTATACCAAGGTCTGCATTAAATAGATCACACATTCTCATGGAAGTGTTTTTTTCACATCATGGCAAGTCTAAAATAATCTCTATCATCTTCCTTGGCCAGGTGACCGATTAAGTTTTCCGTCCCATTCTCTGCAGCTATTTTTTTCTTTTTCTTGGTCGCCACCATGTTTAATCATGTGACGTGAAAAGTCCACTCAATCAACCGAATGAATTCGACTACAAATCGGCGCCGAATGATTTGGGCAGAAATTCGCCAAGTGTAGTGCGTAGGGATCTTTAGCAGTGGGAGGAAACCGGACGACCCGGAGAAAACCCACGAGGCTGGACAGGCGACCATACTCCTTGTCACATACAACTGGGGAATCGAAACCATGCCACTTAACCATTCGACCCCCACATGTATATCTCTCTCCTCTCTTCTCTCTCTCCCCTCCTCTCTCCTCTCTCTCTTCTCTCTCTCTCTCTTCTCTCTCTCTCTCTTCTCTCTCTCTCTCTCCCCTCTCTCTCTAAAAGGAATATCAGCTCTAAGACAGTTTCCTTTGGGTCAGTATTTATAAAGAAATGAGGAATGAAATTAAAAATAGCCACCTTTAACTGTTTTAATTGGATTAAATTATTATTATTATTACAGCATAAATATATATATATATATATTATTCAAAAAAAGTAGGGGATATTTGATATTTAAGTGTTATTAAAGTCACCTAATGAAACTGACGAAGAAACAAATGACAAAATGAAATGAAGTTCACATTCATTGATTTATTCCAAATGATCGTTAGACTAAGTAAGGCACAGACTGACCATTATAAGGGTAAAATGATACCCGGGGTCAAACAGCAAAGTTACCACAGCATCACAACCAAGTCAGTAACGGGTAAATCCTCCTCTGTTTGCCAAACAAGCATTGATCCGACGTGGCATATTCCTAATGAGACGTCTAAGGTCATTTTGGTCCAGATTGTCCCATTCCTGTTGCAACGCAGCAGCAAGTTCTTGGACATTGGCAGGACGTTGTTGACGTTGACGTAACCTCTGTCCAAGCATGTCCCAGACATGCTCGATGGGGGAGAGGTCGGGACTCAGTGCTGGCCAAGGTAATGTGGTGATGTTCTGTTGTTGGAGGTAACCTGTAACGATCCTGGCCCTGTGACATCTTGCGTTGTCATCCTGGAAGATGAAACGGCGGCCATGACGTCGTGCGAACGGCACAACATGGACTGCCAAGATGTTGTCCCGGTAGTACTGGCCTGTAACACGCCCTGCAACAACATGTAAAGCCGTTCTTCTAGCAACAGTGATGCCTCCCCACACCATAACAGAACCACCCCCAAATCGATCATGTCTGATGACGTTAACGTCTTGGAAGCGCTCGTTTCGACGACGCCACACCCTCCTACGTCTATCCAAAAAATCAACAGTGAACCTTGACTCATCTGAAAACATCACATTTCTCCAGCGTCGATTATCCCAGTGTTGACGATCCCTACACCAACGACGTCTTGCCTGAATGTGATGATCTCTCAAACAAGGGATCACGCGAGGACGTCGGGCGCGAAGGTGACCCCTATGCAGTCGATTCCGAATCGTCTGGCCACTCACTCTCACACCAGTGTCTGTTTGAAGACGAGCGCTGATCTGATTTGCTGTGATGACACGATTTCTCAAGGCCAAGGTACGGATAAATCGATCCTGGGCTTGAGTTGTCGCCCTTGGTCGACCTGAGCGTGGTCTGTCCTGTACAGATTGTGTATCACGGTATCTGGACCATAGCCTGCTTATGACAGACTGAGAAACATTCATCGTCCGCGCCACAACCGCCTGTGTTGTGCCGATCTGTAGCATGCCAAGGGCACGTAACCTTTCATTTTGGGTAAGCCGACGCATATCAAAATTTGTTTTCTGGTCACTAAAACAATTAAACTGATGTTTCCACCCTGGAATTCAATGCCACAATGACTGTAACATTCAAAGTCAGAGTCGTGCAAATCTTGGGTTGGACCCCCATGATGATCCCAAGCATCACCTGCATTCCATGCGGTAGCTATTGGTGCGTTTGGGCGTCACATGTAACTGGAAATGTTTCTTCTGTTAGGTTCTATAGTGACTTTTTTCGTAGTCATTTGCATATTTTAGTATTATGCCCCCAAAATCAAATATCCCCTACTTTTTTTGAATAGTATATATAGTGCATCCTTTCATATAAACATGTTCAGGGGCACTTTACAAAGTGACAATAAAATCATAAATAAACAACAAGATTAATGGACATGTTAACAGTTGTATACAGAGTCAGTTAAAAGCTTGTTTAAATAAATGTGTTTTAAATTGTTTTTTAAAAAGAATAATGAGATGTACAACATCTTAAACTAAATGGTAGATTATTCAATAAAACAGGTGCTTGATAACTAAAAGGGTGCTGACCATAAGAGACTAGTAAAACAATTTTAGACTTTAAAAGTAGTTTATCTGAGGTATGTAATGTCTGACCAGGTGTATAAAGTTCTAAAAAATCTGAGAGGTAAACAGGAGCTAAATTATTTAAACATTTAAAAGTATGTAATACATGTAAATTCTTAAAATCAATTACATATTTAAAAGGAATTTAAATATTTAAAAGTATATAATAAATTCTTAAAATCAATAAGATATTGAAAAGGAATTATGTGGTCACATTTCTTAGTTAAAGTAACAAGTCTAACTGGGAAATTATCTATCACTGGCACTTTTTGTTTTCTTAATTAATTAATTACAGAACCAATTTCACCAAACATAACTGCATGGTTTAAAGATACATTCCCACGTACAAACTGGGTGATTTAATGGTATATATGGACTAAAAACATATTCAAACTAATTAATTTGTCATAATTTTGCTTCAAATCCTTCACAAACATTGTAATTGCGAAGGAATGTCCTGCTATAAAAATTCGATCAAACCGGGTCATGTTTACGTCACGTGAGTTACCTCTCTTGGAAGTCAGAGGAGAATTCATTGCATACATAAGACGATGTTGTCTTTAATCGCATACTATTTATAACAAATATCGAATCCTAATTAAATTCTCGGATTATCCACTACCTGCGTCTTTTTCTGTCATTTTTATCTCAGAAAGTGTTGTACGTCTAACTCTTCATAAAGTTTATCAACTTGTACATCAAGTGCTCAATGTTCGCGTGTGACCTTTGACATCACGCGTGCAGAAATTCCTAATCGTTGGGCTGTCGATTAGGGGAACCCTTACATTTTTGTCCTGTATACGCTCCATGAGTGTTTTTCAGGGAATCCAGTATTTTTCTAGTAAGATTGGATATCTCTACTTTCCATACATGTATATACCAAAATTACCATACTTTTATTGGAAATAACCACCCGATAAATACTTTTCTGGGAACCCATCTTTAAACATATTTTATTGCAAATAATTTACAAAGGGATTAGGACCATTTATAGAAATTATGAAGCTTCTCCAAAACATAACTGATTTGAAATTAGAGTAAAAAACGGAAACAACCGAATATAAATCAATTTATATATATTCATATTACATTTATTCTATACGTTGCGACCCATTTGTGTTGATTTCTAGGTCCCAAATATTAGCGATTTAGCTCCTTTTAAGTCGTAGAAAATTTGCTATTTTCCAAAAAATCCAAATGACACACTTTGAGCCTTGGTGTTGGATACCAATTAAATGGCATGGGTGCTAAATATTTAAGAAAAGATTTTTATTGACTCATCTTAAACAGGTAAACACAATATCAATATGCATTGCACATCGTCATAACATCACAACAATATTCATAAAATTTAGGTTACCGGTACAATAATTTACATACCTGTAATTAATTAAGAAATAGATAGATATGGTATATCAAGGTTGTGGACCCTCTAGAGACCACAGTTTTTATCCAATTTGGATGAAACTTTAAATATATGTTTTTATCATTAAGATCTTGGTTCCTTTTGATAATTATTAACATTAGTGTTACTTTGCTCTTATTTTTTGAAAAAATTTTCACAAGTTGATTTCCTTTATTTTGTTAATGTAGAATGGTAACAAACTGCTCTTTTCATTTTCTTTGTTTTCTTTGTTTCGTTTGAATTTGATTTATCTGTTTAGTTTTTGATTGTTTAATTTTTGTTAATGAAGTTGATTCTTTTAAACTTGGTGTAGGTGTTCATCAGGTACATGTAATACCTCGACTGAGTTCAATATTGAGATTAGCCGGTTGATTTGTTGGATATAAACCTTTGAATAATAGCGCCTAACAGGCAGCTGTGTTTAATTATGTTCTCCTGATTTTGATTGTTTCTGTGTGTTTGAAGTATATGTTTGTGATATGCGCTTAGAAACACTTCACGTGTAATGAAGCGCTATATAAATCGAACAATAATAATAATAAGTGATAGAACTGGTTAAACACATTACCATGTTTTTATTAAGTACACAATGTAGATAATAAATTTTAAAAAAAAGGGATTGCAGGGGCCTTTTCTATTTTTCTCGTTTTCTCTTATCTAGTGACAGTCAATTTTTTTGAATTATCAGATATCTTTTCAGTCTCAAATAACAACTATTCGTCATCAACGGCATTACCAGTAGAATGAAATTCCATCGTGTATCTCTTAGCGGTCGTTACTTAGTTATACATAAGGATAACTTGTATTTTCACTTTTTTGCGTCACTTCCAGTTTCTTCAAATATTCATTATGCATCTACCGAAGCAGTGATCTCCGTGTTAAAATTAACCAGTTCTATTACATATTTTTTTTTTTCATTTTTAATGAAGCCTGTACCATAACAGGCCCGGGACTGTACAGCACAGTGGACGCTTACGGCTGGCCCCCCGGATCCATTCACTTGATTTGATATTTGTTTATTTGGTGCAGTGTCTATTTTCTGTCTTGTCCGCAGGTTTATCTTGTAGATTATTGTTTTGCGTCTAGTGCGGTCTCCTGCACTTACTATATAGGTAATAATGGCTGATCCAATCATTATCCTCTAATGCATGTGATCTGAACGACAAAACTATATATTGTAACCAATCAATTAGTTAGTATTGATTGATTGACTAGGCCCTATCTGGCAGATTGTCTACTGTCGTCTGCGTATGACTTTTCATATGACGATTAACGCTAGATTTATCCGCGTACAACTTTAAACAGACGTCACATCGGTATGGTTTCTCACCAGTGTGTGTACGTAAATGTCTCTGTAAATTACTTGTCGAGGAAAAACACTGACTGCAACATTCGCAGCGATACGGCTTGTCCCCTGTATGTGTACGAATATGCGTCTGCAGATCGAAATTACGAATGAATGAACGATTACAAAGTTTACACGCGTGTTTCTTTTCCCCGGTATGGATTTTTACGTGTTTTGACAAATCACATTTTTCGCTGAATGAAATGTCACAAAAATCGCAATTATAAGGTTTCTCGCCGGTGTGAATCCGCATATGTCTCTGCAAATTATTATTCCGGAGAAACAGTTTACTGCAAATATGACATTTAAAATTCCTTTCGCCAATGTGATTTCTGATGTGTTGCATACGGTCACCGTTCCGCATGAATGATTTGTTGCAATATTCACACGTAAATGGCTTCTCCCTGGTATGTGATCGTACATGCCTTTGTAAGTCACAATTAAATTTGAATAATCGTTCACATATGTCACATTTATAATCAACGTTTTGTCGTGTATGAACTTTGACATGTATCTTCAAATCACCGTTACGATTAAATGAGCGACTGCATACGTCACATTTAAATTGTTTCTCTCGAGTCTTGGAGCTGGTATTAACCACTTCGGATCTTATTTCATTGCCAGTATTATACTCAAATTCTTGTGCAACATGTTCGTCAGGCCTTAGTTCATTTCCCTTCGAACACGTTTTATTATGGTCCTCAAGGTCAGAATATTTTTCAAAATTCTTCCCACAAGAGGGACACTGATAAACAATAGGCCTATTATTGTCAGCTCCAGTATTGGTGCTAGTATCAACCACTTCCAATTTTATTTCATTTCCGAGCGAACACTTTTTATTATGATCCTCAAGGTCACAATATTGTTCATAATTCATCCCACAAGCAGGACACTGATAAATAATAGGCCTATTATCATCAGTATCTACAGGCTCTGCTCCAATATTGGTGCTGTTATTAACCAAATCCAATTTTATTTCATTCTCGAGCGAACACGCATCATTATGATCCGCAAGGTCACAATATTTTTCAAAATTCTTCCCACAAGCAGGACACTGATAAATAATAGGCCTATCTGTATCTACAGGCTCTGCTCCAATATTGGTGCTGTTATTAACCAAATCCAATTTTATTTCATTCTCGAGCGAACACGTTTCATTATGATCCGCAAGGTCACAATATTGTTCAAAATTCTTCCCACACGCAGGACACTGATAAATAATAGGCCTAATATCATCAGTATCTACAGGCTCTGCTCCAATATTGGTGCTGTTATTAACCAAATCAAATTTTATTTCATTCTCGAGAGAACACGCATCGTTATGATCCGCAAGGTCACAATATTTTTCAAAATTTTTCCCACAAGTAGGACACTGATAAATAATAGGCCCTTCATCAACATCTACAGGCTCTTTTTTAACGACAACATGTCTTTTATTAAGGGGTTCTAGCTCTGCCTGAGAAACAAATTTTAGAATGTTGTGTTTTTCTTCTTTGACATGTATTTGGTTGTGTTTTTCCAAGTCACCATATAGCTGAAATATCTCGTCACATACGACACACTGATGAAAAGTTTTAACATCGTCAGTTTCCTGTAAAATATACATGGATAAAAATATTATTAAAATAAATGCAAATGAGTTTGGTTTTGTTAGAGTCATTAGATTTACCCAAAACAACCTGTAGTGTATTTTGAATAAAACACATATTTATAATTTAATACTATTAACATCAAATAGTAAGTGCAGGGGGACTGCACCACACAAAATTTACACAAAAACAAATACACGGACAAGACATCATACTCAGAAAAACTTCAAAAAAAAGGGAATGGATCCGGAGGCTAGCCGTAAGCGTCCACTGCGCTGTACAGTCCCGGGTCTGTTATGACACAGACTTCTGTTCTACTAAAAGTAATTATGCAATGAATGGCGAAAGAAGGGTTTGGGGATTGTTGTGAAACAAACCAGCACGTTTATCAAACGTTTAGATGTTTATATTGAGGCACATCTGGATGTACAGGATTCCAACATAATGATTTGATAAAGAACTTCAATAAAAAGCTTCGATTACAGACCGTCATTAAAGCCATCTTGGCATAAAATATATTAGGATAAATATAATTTGGACTAGGATCACCTATACCCGAATGACTCACAAATTAACTAACATTACAAATGAAATGGGGTTTAACGTCCTTTGGTTGAATGGGCTCAGGACTATAATTACAAGTTGACAGACAACAAATTAATAAAAACAAAACAACATCGCATGCAAACATACCCCGTGATTTTGTGCTTTCCCTGTAAAAATTTAAACCCTACATTGACCGAGAAGGTTCATTGGGATTTTCCGGCATGGTTTCCCCTTGTCAGTGGTGCAGGACGGATGGCCAGACATAGACAGCTGTCTAGTCGTTCGGATGGAACAAAAAACCGAGGACCCGCATATACATTGGCGTTCACGTAAAAGATCCCCTGGTAGTTGGAATTCGATATAGCACACTTTATGGCGTATGCCCGTCCTCATTAGAACAGAACAGTAGGACATTAAACCTCATTTCATTTCATTTCATTGTTAAATTTATTGGCATTTTGGTTATTGACATTGGTTTATCACGTGAGTCAGTATACAAAATTGTCAGAGGGTCCGACAAAGAACAGCGTATAGCCGTTCGGATGAACGAAAAACTGAAGTTACGTTTACACATTGGCTTATCCGAAAAGATCCCTCGGCAGTTGCCGCTATCCGGGCAAAATTTCCCCCTAGCATACTGCATGACGTATGCGCCCGTCTTCATTAGCCCAATCCCATTTTATTTCATATCATACAAGACTATTTTATAGATAGTTTAAAGATACGTTCCCAGAAAAATATTTATCGGGTGATTATTTCCAATAAAAGTATGGTAATTGTGGTATATATGGAAAGTAGAAATATCCAATCTTACTAGAAAAATACTGGATTCCCTGAAAAACACTCAGGACAAAAATGTAAGGGTTTCCCTAATCGACAGCCCGACGATTAGGAGTGTCTGTACGCGTGACGTCGAAGGTTGCACGCGGAGATTGAGCGCTTGATGTACATGTTGATAAACTTTATGAAGAATTAGATGTACAACACTTTCTGAGATAAAAATCATGGAAAAAGACGCGGGCAGTTAGTAGTGGATAACTCGAAAAATTAATTAGGCTTCGATATTTGTAATAAATAGTCAGCTATTAAAGACAACATCGTCTTGTGTATGCAATGAATTCTCCTCCGACTTAGCTTCCGTTGCTAGGTACCGAGAGAGGTAAGTCACGTAACACAAACATGACCTCTTTTGATCGATTGTTTTGTAGAAAGATTTGAAGCAAAATTATGATAAATTAATTAGTTTGAATATGTTTTTAATCCAAATATATCATCAAATCACCCAGTTTGTGAAATGAAATGAAATGGGGTTTAACGTCCTACTGTTCTGCTCCTAAACTGGGCTAATGAAGACGGGCATACGCCAAACAGTGTGCTATGAGGGACATTTTGCCCGGGCAGCGGCACTATCGCCTACTCTTATATCGAATTCCAACTGCCAAGGGGTCTTTTACGTGCATTCCAATGTATACACGGGACCTCGGTTTTTTCGTATCATCCGAAGGACTAGACAGCTGTCCTTGTCAGGCCCTCCGCCCTACATCACTGACAAGTGGGAACCACGTCGGAAAATCTGGATGAACTTTCTCGGCCAATGCAGGGATCGAACACCCGACCTCCAGGCTAGCGAGCCAGCGTCTTACCCACTTAGCCACGTGACCCCCCGCACCCAGTTTGTACCCGGGAATGTATCTTTAAGTGGCATTTAGTAACTGGATGAGAATAACACATGACACAATTAATTATATGAAATACAAGTTAATTGAAGGGTTTATTTCAGCTACGTTTCGACGAGATATCTTTATTGTATGGTTGTCATTCTTTGTTTGATAAAGACGGGAGACCCCTCGTCGAAACGTCGCTGAAAAAAAACCTTCAAGTAACTTGTATTTCATATAACTGTGTCATGTGTTACTTATAGAGTTTGATCGACTGGCCGACGGAACATCTTCTGTTTGATTTATTAATATCCAAGAGAGAGTGAGGGGTGACAAACTAGGTCATTTTTGGACTAACATATTGTTCAATTTTATTTCAATAATTCGCTTGCACTCAGGGGTGTTTAGCAGTGGGAATAAACCACAGGACCCAGAGAAAACCCACGGGTTGGACAGGTGATCCCATAAACAACTAATGTACATGTATACTGAGCGCCATGGAAAACGCATCACTTTTTTTCCCCAAATATTTTATTACTAGGTGGTTTTGTATGTATAATGTTATGCAATACTATGAACTATTGTTTCACACAATGCTCCCAAACGCAAAAAATATCGGCCCGTGTGCACAAAAAAAAAATTGCACGAGATGCACATGAAAAACCCAATATTCACATGCAGCATTGTGTGTGGGCCCTTTAAAAGCATGTTTTCAACTTAATGTGCAGTACATGAACTATGAAACGTCAATCTGTCGTAAGTTGTTGTTGGACGTGTGAAGGAATCGAGCTAGAGATGCCGAGACTTACTGAAAATCAACGGAATGAAGCCATGGGAATGTCCCGGGCTGGCATGTCTACACGTGCTATTGCCAGACACTTCAATTGTCATCAGTCCACTATTGTAAGGTTGGTGGAACGTGTTCGAGTTACTGGATCAACACGTGACCGTCAACGTCCTGGCCCACAACGCGTTACAACCCAGGCTCAAGACCGCTACATCCAGGTCACTCATCTGCGTGACAGATTCCGCCCAGCGACTCGAACAGGTGCAGCAGTCGCCGGAAGACAAGGACCAGTAAGTGCCAACACCGTAAGACGTCGTCTAAGAGAAGTAGGACTCCATGCACGACGACCTTATGTTGGAGCTATCCTCGGGGATCATCACCGTCAGCGGCGTTTGATATGGGCTTAAGGACAACAGACATGGAGAAGAATAGACTGGCAAAGTGTGCTCTTCAGTGATGAGAGTCGCTTTCATCTTTATCACGCTGATTCGAAACGAATCGATGGGGTGGGGGAAGTGTAATGGTGTGGAGAGGCTTCACATTTCATCACCGGACCGCCCTACACATTTGCAGGGGTCGCGTTAATGCTGTAGCCTACCGTGATGATGTCTTGCAACCAATTGTTGTTCCGATGTTTCGAGCGCACCCACAACTTCAGCACTTCCAACAGGATAATGCACGTCCGCATAGCGCCCGTTTTAGTATGGACTACCTGGCTGCTAACAACATCAATGTCTTGGACGGGCCAGCCATGATGCATGTCTCCGGACATGGCATCGATAGAACATGCCTGGGATGAGATTGGTCGGCGTCTGTATCGGAGACCACAGATGCACACCATTGCTGCTTCAGAAGCTGCTCTTGTCCAAGAATGGAACAATTTGCCCCAGGCCTTCTTTCAAACATTGGTTAATTCCATGCGACGTCGCTGCACAGCGTGCGTAAGAGCCCGTGGAGGACACACGCGCTACTGACATCCGTGTCGTACTTTTGGTTTTGACCCCTCTGGCTTTGTACCGTTGATTACAGATTAAACGTCCATAAGTGTACAAATGTGTTGTTACTGATGTGTTCACAATAAGAAGCAAAATAAATAAGATATGTTTACAGGATCATTTTGTTATACGAAAATCTAAGTGATGCGTTTTTCATGGCCCTCAGTATATAAATATCAAATCAAGTTAATGTATGATCCGGGGTCTAGTCGTAAGCGCCCACTGCGTTTGTACAGTCCAAAGCCTACAAATGATAAAGGCTTCACTCAAAATGAAAACAAAACCAAAATAAAACAGGCAAAATAACATAGCAACGATTACAATAAAGAAACCATAGAAATGATGCGATCAGGCGACGATATGGTCACCCGCTGAATGGGGAACCTCGCGTGAGAAGTTAGTTGAATGAGTTACTCGGGCTGATTATTTGATCCACGTCCGGAAATTTAATACCACACACCATTTTCTTTGTTAAGATGGCCGCTATCACGGTAAGTGATTATAAAATGAAATTAAATTCTTATATCTTATTTACAAAATCTCACGTTTCTACACATGTATTAGACTACCAGGGACAACAGTTCTTGAAAATATAAATTTCCAAAAGATTCTGAGGAGCCATTTGTAATCCAAGAATGGTTTGGATGTCTTTCAAGTCAAATTCAAATATAATCCCGACTTCTCCAGTCATCTAATTTATAGGAAATTAAAAGAGAGTTTATTTTGATCAAGGTTTAGTCAACTAATGCGGTCATTTTAGTACTAACATAGCATGATTTACCTTAATCTATTTGTTAAGGCCAGCTCAATTTTCGTTAAGGCCAAGGTCACAGAGATGTAATTAAAGTTAGGGCATGTGATTGTTGGCGAGATTGTAGGTTCGGGTTACTGGTTAGGGTAACCATTAGGGCTAGGTTCAGGGTCATGGTAAAGCGGTGTTTACATGATACAACCAATCCATACAACTGTCGGATGCAACGACTGTTTACTCGATACAATGGTACTACTTGTCAGAGGGTTGGATAGCTGAATGGTTAGCGTGTACACGCTGTATCATAAGATCTGTCATTGAGTCAACTGGCGGGGTTTTGATTACCCGGTTGCATGTGATAAGGAGTAGGGTCGCCTGTCCAACCTCATGGGTTTTCTCCGAGTCCTCCGGATTCCTCCCACAACTAAAGACCCCTAGTCCCAAAATGACCTAGTTTGTGTCAAGTGGACTTTAAACCCCATTTCTCTCTCTGTCTCTCTCTCTCTCTCTCTCTCTCTCTTTCTTGATATTAACCTGTCTAATTTGCTTTTGTCTACTGAATTCAACTTGACAAGATATGTAATCTCACAATTAGCTATCCTACTGCATTCAGCTTGCCAAGACACAATTATTACAATGAATATTAATATATTTGAATAGTAAAATATCATATTGTAGACAATTTAACTGACTTTGACTTTAGATGAGTTAAATTGTATTCCATGGAAGGTCCAAGTTACTATCGTCATACTGGTAGGATTACTCAGCCACTCAATTAATAATAAATACCATACCTACATTGTGAAAAAGTGACAGAATACTTCAATTTATTTTAATAAAGATGAGTTAATTCACAGGCAAAATTGCAAAAAATGTACAGCAAATTTAATGTCTCACTGTTCCAAATATCTCCCTTGATCCCCCAAAACTAACATATACATGTACAATATAACCCAATGCTATCTTGAACGAACGATAAACTATATGTATTTATATATTTACAGGAAATGAAAGATGTTAAAACTTTTCACCAGTGTATCATGTGTGATGAGATCTTTAATCATTACAGCGACCTGGTCATCCACAACAAAACACACATTAAACAAGAGTCGTCTAATGACGACGGGGAAAACGAAGTAGAGATCCTTCACTGTAAAGAATGCGGTGATGAATTTCAATCAGGGGCCGAATTAGAAGAACATTGTAAAACTCATGTTAGGGAGGAAGAGTCTCGACCGAGTACCTCACATCAGTTTGAGCAGAGAGAGGCAGATGAAAATTTTGAACAAAGCTATGAAAGTCGAGAGGAGAGTTCAGATCAAAACTATGATGTTAATGAGGATAATATTGAAGAAAACCATGATGATGAGGAAAGAGACTATCCAATCCATTTCATGGATACAACTGGAAATGTTAAAACCAGTGACAGTGAAGCAAATACATTGTATTCCCCCACAGGAAAATCTCTACATAAATGTGATGTTTGTAATAAATCATTTAGACAGGTCAGTGATCTGCAGAGACACGTCACGATGCACACTGGGGAAAAACCCTTTGAGTGCGGAATCTGTGAAAAGGTATTCAGGTTGAAACATAATCTCAAGCATCACATGCGAATCCACATCGATGAAAAACCATTCGAGTGCAACGTTTGTAAGAGGGGGTTTAAACAACGAAACACGCTACAGAGACACTACATCACCCACACCGGGGAGAAACCCTACACATGCGAGATCTGTCAGAAAGCTTTCACGCAAAGCAACACTCTTCAGCGACACCTGAAAATACACCGAGGAGAAAAACGGTACACGGAAAAAACCTTTAAGTGTGAAGTATGTAGTAAGTTTTTTGCTAATATCACCGTTCTACAGGAGCACATGAGGACGCACACGGGTGAGAAACCGTTTGAGTGTGATGTATGTGGCAAAGCATTCACCCAGAAGAACACGTTATCACGGCATTACCGAACACACACAGGCGAAAAACCCTATAGATGCGATGATTGCGGGAAATTTTTTAGATATAAACATAATTTAAACGATCATCGACGAGTGCATACAGGGGAAAAACCCTACAAGTGTGACATATGTGAGAGGTGTTTTAGCCTTAGTAATTCATTAATGAAACATTTCTCCACACATTTCGAAGAAAAGCGCTTCAAATGTGGAGTATGCAGTAAATCATTTTTTCAGAAAACTATTCTCTTGCGCCACATGAAGACCCACACGGGGGAAAGGCCCTATCCATGTAAATTTTGTAGTAAGGCCTTTATTATGAGCGCCTCGCTTGCCAAACACATGAAAAACCATACGGGAAAGAAAGCCATGGAGGGAGAGGACGTCGAAGATTCGAATGAGGAAATGGAAGACCCGGATGAACTCTCTGGTTTAGATGCCTCTGTTCCTACATTGCCGGAAATGTCTTCTGATGGAGGTGCATGGAAGAGTTCTGATATGACCCTGGAAGATGACGACGAATCTCGTGATGAAGAAATACCGATGTTGAATCACAGTGATGACGTGAAGGACGAGATGGCGTTTACACAGACAATCCCACCTACCATACCCAAAATAATGTCGGCAGAATTAGCCAGAAGAATTGCCCAAGCAGGAGAAAAATATCGCAACGAAATCCCTTGATTAGAACCAGGGGTTTAAGTGTTTTAACAATGCCAGTTCGTTTCAAGATGTTATTTTGATCATTAATTAGTATATTTTACTGTTAGTATACTATAGGCTGTGTGTGCGTAGTTTTTATGATCACAATTTAATTGCTGTCACCAATATTATGGGTCTAGCTCACTAATCTGGATTGTTACCAAGAAAATTCCTCTGACTTCCCCTTGTCAGTGGTTCAAAGCCAAGAGCTTTGCAAGAAACAGGGCCTAGTCATTCGTGTGGTGTAAAAAATTAGTCCTTAGTTGGAAATCAAAATAAGAGTTGCCCCAGAGCAAAGCAAAATTCCCCCCCCCCCCAAATAATTTATAGTCTTACAATTGTCCTGGCGCTGACCCTAGTTTGGCCTTGCTGACAGCCCCCCCCCCCCCAATATGAATTTTGTTGCGACGAGTCTGCAGAGAGATCTATTATTGAAATGTTGCTTCTATAAACTTCAATACTTGTATTCCATTAATTCAATGTGACCAATTACTAAAATGGCACTTTATGAATGAAAACAAAATTAATTCATCTACAGAATCTAGAGACTGTCAAAATTAGATCGATCGTGATCAGTCTGATCATACCAAACTTACGCTGTTTGTCTACAACTAGCTCCACTACTCCCATCAAAAGGCAAAACCTAGTAACTCACTTTTTTCTTATTTTGAGAAAACAAAGGAAAACGTAATGAATGAATATTAAACCCCAGCTCATCTATTGATTTGACTATTGAGTTACTAGGTTTTGCTGTGGTATAATAGGCAAATAAAGAAAGTTGCTAGGTTGTGTCATGGGTGTAACTGCTTACAAAATCAAAAGATTGGAATATCTAGTACAACAACAGGAAGCACATACCCTAGTTACTACAAATTTGGTCCTAACTCAATTTTGATAAAAAAAAGTGAGTTACTAGGTTTTGCCTTTTGAGGGAGACTTGGGAACAGACACTAAACTAGTTGTTCGACATTTTTATTCCTACATCGACGATTTTAGTCGAAAACACTAATAGTAAGTGCAGGCGGACCGCACTACACGCAAAACAAAAATCTACAAGATAAACCTGCGGACAAGACAGAAAATAGACATTGCAAAAAAGAAACATAGTATACTTCGCGAATTGTGAGAAGTATTTATTTCGCTCCCGGAGCCACGGTGGTTAAGTGGGTAAGACGCTGGCTCGCTAGTCTGGAGGTCGCGTGTTTGATCCCTGCATTGGCCAAGAAAGTTTGTCAGGATTTTTTGACGTGGTTTCCCCTCGTCAGTGGTATAGGACAGTAGGCTGACAAGGACAGCTGTCTAGACGTTCGGATGAGACGAAAAACCGAGGTCCTGTGTATACATTGGCGTGCACGTAAAAGATCCCTTGGCAGTTGGAATTCGATATAAGAGTAGGCCATAGTGCCGCTACCCGGGCAAAACTACCCTCATAGAACACTGTATGCCGTATGCCTGTCTTCATTAGCCCAGTATAGGAGCAGAAAAGTAGGACGTTAAACCCCATTTCATTTCATCTATTTCGCTTCCATTTAATAAAATAGAAAAAATTTTATTTAGTCATGGTGTGTGTGAGAGATGTTAAACAGAGTAGAATCGTATTATAAAATAGAATATGGGGGCCATTGAGGGCAGAGATTTATTCTACGTGCAGAATGCACTCTGATATAAAGACCTGGGGCCTGTTTCACGAAATTTTAGCTAAGATATAATCCAAATTTTAGTAATTTGATTGGATAATATTAGATTGATTTTAGTGCTTAGCCAATCAAAATTGAAATCTCTACTAAAATTGGATTATATCTTTAGTTAAACATAAATTATGCAAGAGCTAAATCTGTCTATTGCAGGTCTTTCTTTAGGCCTGAAATGTTATCTAAATTATTAATTAGACATCAATTAACCTATCCAGACCATAATCAACTCTAAATGGCATCGCTAGCCTGCGATCTTTAGTGGATTATGAGCCGATTTACTGCATAACTTTCCTTCATGATTTAACGATTAAATGGATAATCGAAACTATGCTGTTTATCGTACTGACTTTTTAGTAATGATGATCGAGGCTAGGCCGAAATTGCAATCGCTTAGTTCTCGGTTCATAGTGGATCAATTTGAATGCAATTTTCAGCAAATTGCCTTTACATTATCTAGTTTTTAACTATTATAGTGAGAACTGCCAACTCGTTATTGAATCTCCCATAATGTATGCTTAAGATTTCAAGAAACAGGGCCCAGATTTGATGTGATTGTTCTGACTTTTATTGTTGTTATTATATTGTACTGTTATAATGTCAAACATACAATTTCAAATGTACAAGTTGTTTTTGTATAGTTTTATAAATATGCATGTGAAACAGGCTCTCTAATCTACTTAGTAGTGTGAATGTATTATTATACACATGTATATATGTATTTTTATTTATATAAAGTTTTGATAAGCATTATCATTTAGTGAAAACAAAAGCAGAGTCAGCATTAAACACAAGCTACTATAACTACCTCTTGGAGAGACACATTCTTTGTATCGCAAGTGGTCTTGTTCCGTTCTCCTCCACTAACTTTTGGGTTCATCCACAGTTGAGACACAGACAAATTATCCACCCTTGATACTTCTGCTATTTTTATCAACCAATCGCATGGATGAGATGCAATTCATCGATACCCTACATTATATAAACACGATATATAGTACAACACACAGAACTAGGTTGGACACGTTCTCGGTATTCCTAGTGGTAACGTTCCGTTCTACTCCACTAACATCTGGGTCCATCCACTGGGTTTTCACAAATTCAGATTATCTACCCTTGATCGTAGCTTGATTCTACGACCCAATCAAAAAACAGTTCATTTACCAGTCTTAGCATCATTGTTTACGCTCACCACAATAATCTTAGTTACATTAAAATGAGAGTTACTTCCCTTTGCCCACTTGATTGGTTGATAAAAATAGCAGGAGTATCAAGTGAGGATAATTTGACTATATGTCTCCCTTGTGGATGGACCCAGATGTTAGTGGAGTAGAACGGAACGATACTAGTGGTGAATAGGGGAGACACGGTTTCGCTGGCTGACTAGCCAAGAGGCACAAGGTTCGATCCCAGTGTGTTGACCTAGAAAGTAGTACATTAGGATATGGACAGTAATATTTGCTGAAATAAGATAGAATAAATTTTATTTCGTTCCAGTGATTATCAAAGTCTTCAAACTTGATCAAAAATACACATTATTGGCATTTGGCCATTTTGGCAAAACAAACCCAATGAACCCATCGATAAATATAATATTTTCTGATTCTGAACATAGCCTTCAAACTTGATCAAAAATACACATTTTTGGCATTTGACCGTTTTGACAAACCCAAGGTTAAATATCTGGCCCCGAGTTCACAAAGCATTCTCAGACTTAAATTAAGAATATACTCAAAATTGTTCGCCTTATTTTAACTAAAATATAGCCCTTTATAAAACTTTTGTTGTTTTAATATATCAAATAAATCAATAAGAAATTATGTGTAAAGTTTTGTGTTTCTGGATCAAAGATATTTCTCATAAACAATGAATGAATGTTGAGTAAATTCTGAGAATGCTTTGTGAACTGGGGACCTGGTAAATATAGACATTTGTTGCTGTTGGTTACGATGTGTTACTAGTATTGTGTTAATGTAGAACATATTGTTTAGTAAATATTATACTTAAAATAAACTTATGTCTTGTTATTTACTCTCTCTCTCTCTCTCTGTTTCCCTCTCTCTCTCAGATTGATTTTCGAATCTGTTCCTGAGCCTAGAAAATTACATTGACCAGGGTTTTAAATTATCTTAGAACATACCACTCAAGGCTGGATTTAGAAGAGACTTATCCCCCCCCCCCCCACAACCACAATTAGAAAGCGTGTTGACACCCTAACCCCCACAACCACAACTAGAAAGTGTATTTTAAACACAATAGAGGAAAGTCTAGGATAATTATGGATGTTTAAGACTACGGTGCATGTAAATGAAATGAATGAAATGAAATGGGGTTTAACGTCCTACTGTTCTGCTCCTATGCTGGGCTAATGAAGACGGGCATACGCCATACAGTGTGCTATAGCGGAAGTTTTGCCCGGGCAGCGGCACTGTCGCCTACTCTTATATCGAATTCCAACTGCCAAGGGATCTTTTACGTGCATTCTAATGTACACACGGGACCTCGGTTTTCCGTATCATCCGAAGGACTAGACAGCTGTCCTTGTCAGGCCCTACGGTGCATGTAAGAAAGGCTGATGAGTGTTCAAAAATGTTGAGGCCCTAGGCTACCGCTTTCAAGCCTATTGGTAAATCCTGACACTGATACTGCTGTATGTTTTGGGACTCAGTTTGTAGGGTGGGGGGTGCTTGTTGTTAAAGGGGTTACAGCTCTTTGGAAACTTAAAATAGTCGAAAATAGGTCTAAATATTATGACCCCAGTAAGACAACAACATCAATATTGGTTGAAATGAACTAATTTTGAATTCTTAATTGGGAGAGAGAGAGAGAAATGGGGTTTAACGTCCACTCAACACAAACTAGGTCATTTTGGGACTAACATATGGTTCAGTTTTATTTCAATAATTCGCTTGCACGTAGGGTTCTTTAGCAGTCGGAGAAAACCGGAGGACCCGTAGAAAACCCACGAGGTTGGACAGGCGACCCTATTCCTTGTCACGTACAACCGGGGAATCGAAACCACGCCAGTTAACTCAATGACAGACTTTATGATACAGCGCGCACACGCTAACCATTCAGCCATCCAACCCCAGTGGTTTGTTGAATGACATTTTGTCATGTGAACTAGTTTAATTTTGCCAATTAATTAGCTACAAAGCACACTGCTGTGGATAAGAACTACTGGATTTATTCAAAGCGACGTTTTAAAGATGATTCTCTCTTGTTGATCTAACAAACGATAACCGATGTAGTTGCGATGTGGGTCACTCGGGTGTGTCGAGTCCTGAGCCAGATATTTTATAACACCACGTTTTGGCGTATGCGCACCTACTTCAGCTGGAATCCGAAAACTAGAACGAAAAGAATGCAAGAAACCAAAACACATTTTCGAAACCAGATTTAGGTAATTATTAGATTATTTCAGAGAGGTACACCAATGTCACAATGTTCTGAGCTAACTCCTTATAGATGCATTTGAAAGTTATCAATCCATTCTACACACAGAGACCTAGCTACTTTAAAAATAGATCTCTGTACTAAATGGCCGCCATATTGGATATTAGTGCAATGTTTTGATAATATAATAATTTTTTTTTTTTTTTTTTTTGTTGCTTATTATATGCATTTCATCATGAAAACAATCTCAATGCATAGTACAAAAACATTTAACAGTGAGCAGAGAACTAAAAGTAGACCTCCCATTGCCATCATTACACCATAAAAATAAAAGCATTTAATTGTTATTTCTATGTGATTCTACATGCGTAGCCCATAGGCTAATAATAATAATGATGATAATAATAATTTATTGAACTTGTACAAACCCAGCTTGTAAACCTGCCCAGTGGCACTTGTACAAAATAAATATATATTACCGTATTATGAGTTCACAATCGAAAACAATTTAGATAAAAAAAATCATAAAAAATTAAAATATTTGGTAAAATGACAATACAGATAAGATTTAAAAAAAAAAATAAAAAAAATAGCAGGGTATAGGTACAGATAAAATATAAAACATTAAAAAAGTGTGGTAAATGAGATAATCACATGAAGGCTTTTCGTAACAATTCTGTTTTTAGATTCTTTATACATGTATGTTGTGATTTTGCCCTGTGTCCAGGTGTCTGTCAGGATAACTGGGACTACTTCCACCTATCCACGGAGTCCCGTGCTACCAGCGGGATTTAACCTATATATTTGCTGTATTGCCGTAGCTGCGGCTCAGATTATGCTTTAGACTTCAAATAGGTAACATTGTTATTATTGCGGACACCTTGGAACACCAAGTGGGAATACCCTCGATCACTATAGTAACAATTCTGTTTTTAGATTCTTTTTAAAACCACCAAAACTAGAACTAATCCTTGTTTTAAAGGAGATGTCGTTCCAAAGTTTCGGTGCTGCGACCAAAAAGGAATATTGAGCGAGAAGTGTTGTACTTTTTGGCGTCAAGTCTTTCAGTAAATATCATCCACAGTCTCCGACATTGCAAACAGAAATTATTGGTCCATTTAAATCAACACTGATGTTGTTATCTTACCGTGAAAAGATGGGATTCTGATATCCAATATTTAAGACAAAATGAAAATTTTAAAATTGGCATACGAAACCTGTGCCAGAATGTTTTCGAGCGCAATTTGTAATGAAGCGACTCGATGAACGAGGCTAAACAAACCCCACATGAGAATACTAAAGGTGTAGACTGGAATAACCAGACGCCAAGACTGCCATTCAATTTTCACTCTTTTTGTATTTCCCCAAACATACATGATTAGAAATTACAGTAAAAACAGAAACGATTGAATGTAAATCAATTTATATACATTCATATTACATTATTTAATGCGTTGCCACCCATTTGTGTCCATTTCTAGGTGCCAAAGAATAGCGATTTAGCTCCTTTAAGATTTTAAGAACAAAGTTGGCGTAAGGGTTTATAATTGTTAAGAAGATCAGTTTCATACACACAAAGACTTTAAGAAAATGGAAGTATAATAAATAACTCTGATAATTCACAAACTGTGTTAAGCATTTTCGTCTGAAATCGTTGAAATGGGAAATGAAATGTCATTTAACTAGCTTCGTGTTTGTTTTGAAACGGAACTAATTTGAGACAGACAGCGTAACTTTTGTATGTACTTCTCATGGAACTATTTTTACGGTTTTAACAAACTCATAGGCTGTATGTTAGACTCTACTTGATATAGACAATTTTCGAGAATTTTGATGATGAAATGAAATGGGGTTTAAATTCTGTTGATAAAATTTTCCCTCATCATAACTTCATAAGATGTTAAAGCCATTTCATTTTGTTTTTGTTTTGGGTTCTGTTTGTCTTTTTAACATGTATGCATTATACAATTTTCAGAATCAGCTTGGAAGAAAAATGTCATTATTACATAGATTTCGGTATTGTGCCGTCAATGGCTGCAGCAGTAGATCATTAGGGGCTACTTCCTTTGGCACAGATGAAGACGTCGTTCTACATAGTCTCCCAGAGGATCAAACAACAAAACAGACTTGGATTAATTTTGTACGAATTGGTAGAAAAAATTGGAACCCAACACCTTCTTCAGTTCTGTGTAGTGCTCATTTTAAATCTGATTCTTTCCAAATTAATTCCGATTCTACTTTAGAAAATCATAAAGGGAGAATACTACTTGATGGGGCTGTCCCCACTATTCTTCCCCTGTCTGCCAGGGATGCCATAGATGATAGTTTACCAATAACTTTTCAACATGTACAGAAATCTGAAGAACTTAAACAGAATAAAAAGAAGCTGATGACATTTGATGGTGATGATGATGATGATGATGGAAATCGAATGGTAGGTAGAGCTGAATAATAATATTCTAATTATGATATCTCTATTAAGAATGGGGGTTTGGGGGTGACCGAATGTTTTAATGTGTGTGATAGATCACAAGGTTTGTCATTAAGTGAGGTGGCACAGGGGATTGGGTGACCAAATGTTTTAACTGGCATGGCATGTTTGGCGGGGGGGGGGGGGGGGGTTAGATGGTCGAATTTTTAGCACGTGCACGCTATATCATAAGGCCTGTCATTGAGTCAACTGGCATGGTTTCGAATCCCCGGTTGTACGTGACACGGAATTAGGACGCCTGTCCAACCTTGCAGATTTTCTCCGGCTCCCTATCCTCCAGTTTCCTGTTCCTCCCACTGCTAAAGACCCCTACGTTAAAGCAAATTATTGAAATAAAATTAAACCATATGTTAGTCCTGAGATGGGTAGTCTGTGTCGAGTGGACGTTAAACCCCATGTCACTCTCTCCCTATTATAATGGGGGAAAGGGGGGGGGGACCAAATGGTTTAAGGGGTGTGTTGGATCATGAGGTCTGTCATTGAGTCAGCTGGCAAAGGGGATTGCGTGACTGAATGTTTTAACTGACGTATTAGATCACAAGGTCTGTCATTGAGTCAGATGGCATGGTTTCGATTCCCTGCCTGGATGTGACATGCATGTGGTGACTTTCACTTGTCTAACCTCGTACATATTCTCAATGTTCTCTGGTTTTTCTCTCACAGCTTCAGACTATGAAATAAAATTGAGCCATATCATCCATATGGAAGCGGTAAAACTTCTGAAGACTTGTTTCATTTTTTTTTACTATCTGAGTTTTTCAAGATATTATTTATTAATTTCTTTTCTCTCTATTGCAGCAAAATGTTTCTCCAGCAACTGTACAACAGGGTGCTACTAACCAATCTACCATACAGTCAATACAAGAAACTCCATCGATACCAGTTACAATGCCGATGATATGTCTTGTATCAACTCCATCAGGTAAGTAGTCTTCATCTACCAGGTTTGTAGTCTCCATATACCAGGTTAGTAGCCTCCATCTACCAGGTTTAGTTTCCATTATCCATATGTAAATTCCATCTTACGGTACACTTTGTTATAAAAGTTGGGGACACACTTGCTAAGTGGGTAAGACTCTGGCTCGCTAGCCTGGAGGTCACGTGCTCGATCACTTCATTGGCAGTGAAAGTTCATCATGAATTTCTGACATGGTTTGCCCTTGTCTGTGGTGCAGGACGGAGGGCTTGACAAGGACAGCTGTCTAGTCGTTCGGATGGGAAGAAAAATCAAAGTGTATACATTGGCGTGCACATAAAAAATCCCTTGGCAGTTGGAATTCGATATAAAAGTAGACCATAGGGCCACTGCCCAGGCAAAATCTTCCTCATAGTTGGAGCAAAAGAGTAAGACATTATACCCCATTTCATTTCATTTCATTCAATGAAAATTCACCTAGTGTATCCTGAGTCCCGTTGCTAAATTCGTATTTGCCCTAATGATAGGCCCAAGTCAAACATGTTTGATACAATCGACCAAATTTTCTTTTGCCCCATTTATATTTGTCTAGTCCGGTTCGCCGAAGACGTTGCCCGTTTGTAGAAATCATTAGCCAAACACTGATGTCCCGAAAGTCACATGATGATCATATTTTGAGGACAAAATAGTGACTTCCTCGGCCAGTTCTTGAAGGAGATTATTATTTTTATACGCCCACATTGAAATGTGGTCGTATATTGTCGTTGCCCCCGTCCGTCCGTCGGTCCGGCGTCCACAATTGCTTGTGGACGCTCTAGAGGCTAAAGTTAATATCCGATTGACTTTAAATTTATACACAGTGTTAAAGGTCATGAGACGAAGAAGCCTATTGATTTTCAGCGATTTCTGATAATTACTGCCAGAGTTATGGCCCTTGATCACTTCAAAAAATCTTGTGGACCCTCTAAACGCCAAATTTAATATCCGATTGACTTTAAATTTATACACTGTGTTTAAGGTCATGAGACGAAGAATCCTATTGATTTTCAGCGATTTCCGATAATTACTGCCAGAGTTATGGTACTTGATCACTTCAAAATATCTTGTGGATGCTCTAGAGGACAAAGTTAATATACGATTGACTTTCAATTTATACAGTGTTTAAGGTCTTGAGACAAACAAGTATATTGATTTTCAATGAATTTTGATAACTTTATCAGCTAAATCCATGATATTAAATGTTTCGTATACTAAACGTTAGCTTGGGGCAGAACTTTATAAAAAAACACACAAATTCTAATGATTTTCTGATAATTACTTCATGAGTTGTTACTCTTAATCAGATTTTAGTGTATTATAAATTTTTCATCACCGAAAGAAAGTAAAAATATGCGACAGCTCTTGTTGACTGTCCGGACGATTTAGCTGCTGTGGGCATATGTTTCATTGCCTCGCAACCTATCTTTGTTTCTGTTTTTGTAGTAAATAAAAGATTAGCAGCAACATCACAATCGACCCCGAATAATTCTAACCAAGGGAAGATAACTCTACAACTTCGTTTAATGGTGAGTAAAGGCCACTGATGGAGAGAGAGAGAGAGAGAGAGAGAGAGATTTAATGGAGAGAGAGAGACATGGCGTTTAAGTCTACTCAACACAAACTAGGTCATTTCTGGATTAACAGGTGGTTCAATTTTATTTCATCAATTCGCATAGAGGTCTTTAGCAGTGTTACAGGGTGAGAGAGTTCAAGTTAAACAATAATTGTCCGATTGCTGACCGCTGGGTTTCAACTTAAACAATAATTTCTCTGGCCCAGTGCTAAAGACCCCCTACGCACAAGTGAATTATTGAAATAAAATTGAACCATGTGTCATATGTGTTAGTCTCGAAATGACTTAGTTTGTGTTGTGTCAGTGGAGGTTAAAGTTTAAAATACAGATCTATATTTCGTTCCGTTTTTTGTCCCCCTGCCTTTCGAAGAAAGCAGGGGACTATTAAAATGTGTTCGTCTGTCTGTTTGTCCATCACACTTTATGGGACACAATAACTCTCTTTCTAATTGAGGTAGAATGTTCAAACTTGGTGTAGGTGTTTATTAGGTCAATACCTAGATTGATTTCAAAGATGAGCATTTTCGGCTTAGGGTAAGCAGAGATAAGCAATTTGATTGGTTGATGCTTTGGGACACCATAACTTTAGTTCTAATTAAGTAAGAAGGATGAAACTTGGTGTATAGTTTCATTACATCAATACCGTGACTAAGTTCAATAATGAGCATTTTTTGCTCAGGGTAAGCAGAGCGATAAGCAATTTGATTGGTCGAGACCTTGGAACACAATAACTCTCCTTCTAATTGAGCTAGAATATTTAAACTTGGTGTAGGCTTTCATTAGGTGAATGCCATGATGGAGTTCTATGATGAACATTTTCTGCTTATGGTAAGCAGAAATAAGCAATCTGATTGGTTGATGCTTTGAGGCACGATAACTTTGGTTCTAATGAAGTGAGGGCGATGGAACTCCAAATATAGATTCATTATATCATTACCTTGACTAATTTCGATGGTGAGAATTTTCTGCTTCGGCTAGCGATAAGCAATTTGATTGATCAAGACTTTGGAATTGAGGTAGAATGTTTAGACTTGATGTACATGTAGATGTTCATTAGGTGAATGTCTTGACTGAGTTCAATGATTAACATTTCGAGTTGAAGCTAAGCAGAGCTAATCAATTTCATTGGTCAGTGCTTTGGGACAAGATAATCTTGATTCTATCTGAAAGAGAGTGATGAAACTTAGTGTACGTTGAGTTTGATTGCTTGATACTTTTGAAATAAAAATATAAATGTGCGATTAATTTATGTGTGTCATCTATTTATTTTGGGATTTCGGCGGGGAACATCAGTGTCACTGTTGGCTTGTTATACTTTCGATGGCCTCTACTACATGAAGGTGACCAGTTGTAGTGGGGAGTTGTGTCAGGGGTCATGCGAGTGGCTTTTGACCCTATGATGTCAGACAATCAGCATACCCACAGTAGGATACCCACAGTTCTTTGTATTGCACACAAAGAATTCGCTGCAACAGTCCGTTTCATTGGCTAATCCCTCACATTATCCAGAACGCTGGTTTTATAACAACTCTTCCAGATCCTAGGGTAGCAAAGACATGTAAACGAATTTTGAACTATAAAAAAAAATGGAACGAAATAGGATCTGTATTATAATCAGATTGCATGATATTTTATAAAAAGATGAATATAATTAATATGTGTCATCTATTTATTTTGGTATTGAGCCCAGGCATCATGAGACAAACTGTTAACTTGTTATCCTGATTTCATTATGCAAGAGCTAAAACTGCCTATTTGCCTATTTCAGGTCTTTCTTTAGGACTGAAATATTATCTGAATTAGACATTAATTAACTTATTCACACCATAATCAAATCTCGATGCAATCGTTAGCCCACGATATTGAATACTCTTTGTGATGGCTAATTTAATGTAAAATTGGATATTCAAGACTTTGTTTATTATCGCACCAACGTTAGTAATGACAATCGAGGCGAGCCTAATCTCTAATATCTGAGTTCAGAGTTAAGCAATTTGACTGAAATTTTCAGCATATTCTGTTTTCTTTATCTATTTTCGAATTATTATAGCAAGAATGGCTAGCTCTTTATCTAAATCTTACATAATACCGCTTTAATCTTTCTACTTCCTAACCCGGTCGGAGCTGACGTGCCATTAAACAACATTTCATTTCATTTCATTTCTTTCTAATTCCTTTATTACAGGGAGGGGAGAATTCTCTTCCCCAGTCGACAGTTTCTGCACAGATCGTTCACAACGATCTGCGTGTTAAAGAAGAAGATGCTGACAATGTCAATGAAGATGAAGACCTTAAATCGAAGACGTTCTATAAATGTAATTGTTGTGATGTGAGTTTTGTACGATACGCTGATCTTGAGAATCATTGTAAAATACACGTTAAGGAAGAAGACTCCGTAGCCAGTAATTCTAAACAAAGTAGTAGTCAAGGTCAAGGTCTTCTTGAATGCCGATTTTGCTCGGAAACGTTTACAACCGTAAAAAATCTTTACGCACATATTAAAACGCATCAAGAATACGAATTTCAACATTTCTCTTGCGATCTTTGTGAAAGGGTTTTTAAAACCAAAGATACTTTACGCAGACATAAGAGGCTCCATGATGGGAAAAGAGAATTTGAGTGTGAAGTTTGTGAAAGAGGATTTTCGTATAATATCCATTTACAGGAGCATATGAGAAGTCATACCGGTGAGAAGCCATTTAAGTGCGAAATTTGTGGAAAATTGTTTGCGTATCGAGGGGATTTAACGACGCACATTCGTCGACATACGGGAGAGAAGCCGTTTGTTTGTGAAATTTGCGGTAAAGCCTATATTTCGAGTAGTCAGTTAATAACACATAAATTAAGTCACAACAAAGGATACCCTGATCTCTATAATCAATGTAAAATAAATATTAAAAATAAAGATAAAAAGTCTGTCGCCAGCACGTTTACGGGTACACCGTCGACTGATCAGGACTCGGTCGATGACGAAAACGATTGTGATATCGCTGTACATTTTGAGCCGGACCCGGACCGAGATATAAGCACAGACAACAAAACACACGCCAAATGTGAAATCTGTTCAAAATTATTCACAGACAAAGCTGCTTTAAGTGAACATACTACATTCCATACTTCCCATTGTCAGTGTTGCATCTGCTGGGAAGTCTTTGACAATGTTACTGACCTTCACAAACATAATAAAAATCATGTCGTCCAGAACAAAAAAATAACATCTAAATGTAAGATTTGTTTGAAATCATTTTCAAATAATACTTTACTTAATGATCATATGATCCAAGAGCATACAAGTGCAAATCATGACGACAATCTTCTCGAATGCCGATTTTGTTCCGAAAAGTTTACAACTGTTAGCAACCTTTACGCTCATATCAAAATGCATCAAGAATATGAATTTCAACATTTTACTTGTGACCTCTGCGAAAAGGTTTTTAAAACTAAAGATACTTTACGCAGACATAAGAGGCTCCATGATGGGAAGAAAGAATTTGAATGCGAAATTTGTAAAAGAGGATTTTCCGCTAGCGTGAATCTACAGGATCATATGAGAAGTCATACCGGTGAAAAGCCATTTAGGTGCGATATTTGTGAGAAGTGGTTTGCGTATCGAGGTGACCTTACTAAACACATACGACGTCATACAGGGGAGAAGCCATTTATTTGTGAAATTTGCGGCAAGGCCTACATTTCAAGTAGTTCGTTAATAAAACATAAAACCTGTCACAGCGAAGAAAAATTATTTACTTGCGACGTCTGCGGGAAGCCCTTTTCAAGTAAAAGTTCTCTGAACCTGCATTACAAACTTCACACGGGAGACGGACTTTTCAAATGTGACTTGTGCAGTAGAGTGTTTGTTTTAAAATCTCTACTGTCGAGACATGTCCGTTGCCATAGTGATAATCTCAAATGTGATATTTGTTCAAGACAGTTTAATAGACGGAACAATCTCTCGGAGCATATGAAATCTCACCGCAGAGAAAAAAAATCGTACAGATGCGACGTCTGCAATAAATCTTTTAACAAACGGCAAAGTTTCAACCGGCACCGAGAAATTCACAATGAAGTAAATCTGTTTAAATGTAGTTTTTGTGACACATCGTTCAAAACAAGACTCAGTCTGAAGAGACATAAAAAAACTCATAATCAAGAAACAGAACGCAGATTTGAATGCGAGCTTTGTAAAAAGCGTTTTTACGACAAACAGCATCTAAAGAATCACATACCAACGCACAGTCAAGAGACGCCATTTAAATGTGATGTTTGTGGTAAAGCTTATAAACTACAACGATCTCTGAAGATCCACAACAAAACACATATGGAAGAAAATACTAGAAATGTTCTTAGTGTAGAAAAATCTCATAACTGTGATGTTTGTGGTAAATCATTTCAACAACGTAGATCTCTTAACAGACACAACAAAATACATACTGGTGAACAACCTAGCAACATTTATACTGGTAAATCATTTCAACAACGTAGATCTCTCAACAGACACAACAAAATACATACTGGTGAACAACCTAGCGACATTTATACTGGTGAACAACCTAGCGACATTTATACTGGTGAACAACCTAGCAATGTTTATACTGGTGAACAACCTAGCAATGTTTATACTGGTGAACAACCTAGCAATGTTTATACTGGTGAACAACCTAGCAATGTTTATACTGGTGAACAACCTAGCAATGTTTATACTGGTGAACAACCTAGCAATGTTCATACTGGTGAAAACCATAGCAACATTCATACTGGTGAAAACCATAGCAACGTTCATACTGGTGAAAACCATAGCAACATTTATGCTGGTGAAAACCATAGCAACGTTCATACTGGTGAACAACCTAGCAACATTTATACTGGTGAAAACCATAGCAACGTTCATACTGGTGAACAACCTAGCAACTTTTACACTAGTGAAAAATCTAGCAATGTTCATACTGGTGAAAGATCTAGCAATGTTCATATTGGTGAACACCCTTCCAAATTTCATACTGGTGAAAAACCTAGCATTATTCTTACTGGTGAAAACCATAGCAACATTTATACTGGTGAAAACCATAGCAACATTCATACTGGTGAAAACCATAGCAACATTCATACTGGTGAAAACCATAGCAACGTTCATACTGGTGAAAAACCTAACAATGTTTACACTGATGAAAACCCTAACAATGTTTACACTGATGAAAACCCTAGCACTGTTAATACTAGTGAAAAACTTTATACTTTTGGAAACCCTAGCAATATTCATACGGGACAAAAATGTTTTGAATGTGATATCTGTGGTAAATTATTCAAGCGAAAAAGGTCTGTGACTATACACAAAAAAACCCATTCCGACGAAAAACCGTACACTTGTCAATCATGTGGAAAATCTTTTAAACAACGTAGATCTCTGAGAATGCACAACAAAATTCATACTGGTGAAAAATCTAACAACGGTGACACTGTCGAAAAAAATTACAAATGTGATCTTTGTGATATAACTTTCAGTAAACGACAGAGTTTCTATAATCATAAAAAAATTCATAAGGAGGAAATAGACAGACCTTTTAAATGTGACATATGTATAAAGACTTTTAGTGATCGACAGTATTTACAGAAACATTCAAAAACCCATAATGAATTACGAGAGAGACCATTTGTTTGTGATCTTTGTGCGAAATCGTTTTTTAACCTTCACAATCTCAAGGATCATATCCGAACCCACACAGGTGAGAAGCCATTTAAATGTGATGTTTGTAATAAATCATTTTCTCAGGTAGGTAGCGTGAATTTACACATCAGAAACGTTCACAACAAAGACAAAAGCATTTGAATTTAAGGGATATAACACCTCTGGGATTTACATATAGGTCAAAAAAAATTTGAGAGAGAGAGAGAGAGAGAGAGAGAGAGAGAGAGAGAGGGAGGACATTTTGGAACTAACATATGGTTCAATTTTATCTGAATAATTTGCATGCATGTAGGGGTCTTTAGCAGAGGCAGGAAACTGGAGGACCCGGGGGGAAAACCCACGAGGTTCGACAGACGACCCTAGTCCTTGTCACGTACATCTGGGGAATCAAAACCACACTGGTTGACTCAATGACAGACCTTATGATACAACGTGCATGCGCTCACCATTCGGCCACTCTAGCTGAGAGAATACATGTAGTTTATTATTTTGTTAGGCTATGGAAAATGAACACTTTACAATGTAATTGTAATTGAGTTCATGCACATTGGTGAAGAGAACATGTGATTTAATGTGCACGCTTTAAACCCCTTACTTTGATCGCCTCCCCGTACAGTGTTGAAACCTCATGTAGATATTCAGGCTGACCTTAAAAATATCTTTGTTTCACCAAACCCGACCCACAATCGAGGAGAAGGGTCGGTAGGTCGGTTTTTTTTTCAGATTTTTTTTTTAAGAGCTAATTTGACAGCTTGATAATTTTTCGGGTGCAAACATTCGTCTTCTTTTATTGGCAAACAAATCAATGACATCGGGATTTTTCTTGATGCACGACTCGCACACAAATTGCCACAAACTCACGTTTGAAACTCCCTCAACACGTTTTTAACGATCGTGCGGGTTGTGCCTTCATTTTTCTCGAAAACGGATATTGAAAATATCGTCGTCATGTTTAAAACGACGCCCCACAGACATAGAGGCAGAATCATTTCGTGGGAATGGACGTGCTTTCGTCTGCAACCATTTTGTTGAGAAGCGACACCTATGACGCTTTCGTCTTGATCAACCAGTTTCAATAATGAATCAAACCATAGCCATAGTAAAGGGAAATAACTCTCGTGATATATTTCAGGTTGACACACAAAATAAAATAAAAAGATCGCAGAAAAGTGCAATAAAATAATTTAAGTCGGGGGTGGTTTTAGTTAGTCGGTCGCGTTAGGCGAAACAAAGATATTTTTAAGGTCAGCCTCATGGAGTAGGGTTGCCTCTCCAGACTTGTGGGTTTGCTCCAGGTCCTCTGGTTTCCTCCCACTGTCTCTCTCTCTCTCTCTCTCTCTCTCTCCAACCTGGGTAAAAAAACAAAAAAATGCTATCAAACGATTTTTTCACAAACACACTGTGATTTTTAACCCAAAAAAGCATATTTCTACATTGTATTCATATGGTAACTGTATTATTCTATATTCTATGTCAAATAATTGCTGTATATATGCTTGTACATTAATGTATGTATGTATATATGCTTGTACATTAATGTATGTATGTATATATGCTTGTACATTAATGTATGTATGTACATGTATGCTTGTACATTGTTGTATGTTTGCTATCCTTGGACGTGATAAGCAAATTTAAAATTGCGAAAGGCTCAAATAACGAAACATTGTAATAATAATTGCGATACTATTGGTCACACATTCTCATGTAATTGTAGTAATAGGGTTTATTTCAGTTGTATGAAAGGTGCTCCGTTTAATATATTGAAGTGGTTAAACAAATGGGTGACAATGAGAAATGGGCTTGGGCTAAATAGATATTTTGCAAGATTAAGCTTTCTTAGACTAACTCACCGACAGTTCCTGCCACCATCAGTTACTGGTGTCCAGTCATCTCGTGCATAGATTAGTCCAATTAAATGAACAATTTTGATGAAAACGGGTACCCAAATGAAACACTTACCCCAAAATGTTAATTGTCCCGCCCTAAAAGCCGACGTATCTAAGCGTTTGATATAAATTTAACAGCACCATCAAATTTGCTTTAGAAATCATTCAGTGTTGCCAGGGAAGACATCATTGGCGTTCCAAACGGGACGTACAGCCACCTCAGATTAGAGGCCTGGATAGAGACAACATGCAGTGTTCTTAGACGGACACACCTTTAGTCTCCCCTGCTTAGAGAGTCTGACATAGAAAGAAGTGCCTAACGCCACAAAACACCGACTAAGGGATAGAGAACTTATATTTAGCTTATATTTAATGTCATATGTGTGTGTAGTTTCCTATATATAACCGTTTTATTATGGATGTTATAAAGATATAAAAACATAGTCCAGGGGCGGATCCAGAGGGGGGGATGTAAGGGGGTCGACCCCCCCCCCCCCCCCTGCTCAGCTACATATTTTTTTTTGTAAATCGACACTTTTTATGAGAAAAGTTTCTCGGTGGTGTGCTTTATCGTCAGATGTGGGACAGGATGGGCACTCAAAGCATGAGATAATGATATAGACATTATGTGATATCACAATTAATGCTTGGCATCCATGAAATTGAATCACAATGTCATTGTATTAATTCATAATAAAAATTGACGTCAAACGAGGTGTTGAATTTCTCTGTTTAAAAAGCTCAATGTGTATGTATATACGCCAAAATGACGATAGAGACCATGCGGGAGGGGGGGGGGGATACATTGTCTCAGGAACCTGCCCCCCACCTGCAAAAAATCCTGGATCCGCCCCTGGAGTCAATTGATCCTTATACACAGCGTGGAAGTCAGAGTTACATGTAATTCATAATTGATCATAGTGTCACATTTTGTCGTCATCATGGCAAGCCCAACCAGGATCTCCACACCAATTAAGCGACGGCCAACAGGTGACCCATGAAAGAGATTAAAGTGTTGTAAAGGTAACGTGTACAAATACAAATAAACAATTAATTCAGGTGTAAATATTAATTATAATCAATGATACGATGTATCACCTGTAAACATATAAATACACAATATATATCACCTGTAATCATATAAATACAGGTTGTCTATCCAGTATAATATTTATTTATTCTCACAGATCTACATCAGACAGGTAATATATTTTTCGTATTTCCTCGGGATCTTCCGGTGCCCTTTGCGGAGGTCAGAGGCCTTGCAAGGACAGCTCTCTAGTCGTTCGGATGGGACGAAATTCCGACCTCCTGTGTACACATTGGCGTGTACGGAAAAGTATTTTTGACATTTCAAATTCGATATCGGAGTAGACCGGGCAAAATTTCGCTAAGTAATCCCGTCTTTATTAACCCAGTCGGCGCAAAACCTTAGGATGTTAAAACCCATTTCATGTATTTTTCAACATTACACATTTACAAAGTCAGAACACTCAGGGGTTGGATGGCCGAATGGTTAGAGCGTGCACGTTATATCATTAGGTCTGTCATTGAGTCAACTAGCGTGGTTTCGATTCCCCGGTTGTACGTGACATGGGGTAGGGTCGCCTTTCCAATCTGGTGGGGTTTTTCCGGGTCCTCCGGCTTCCCCTCACTGCTCAAGACTCCGACGCGAATGAATTGCAAAATTTATTTTTAGCCTTTCTCTCCCCTTTGCTTTTTGTTGACTTTTGGTGTAGAATCGAAGAAAAGGGTTTGAAAATACATTTTCTGCCAGGTTTTGGTGGATATGTATTCATGATTTTGAGGCGAAATGATTCGAGAGCTAAGAAGTTGGGTAGGTTGAAATAAATGTACGGGGGAAAATTGCATGTTAATTGGTCTTTACTTCCAGTTTATGTATCTTAACTTTTCCACAGTGAACCTCATACGTGCATTTGAGCAGGAGGTATCCCTCATGTACTCCCATCTGTGGTAGGAAGCGTTCTAGCCAACGAAAATTTGGGAAAAGGTTAGAGTCGGTGAACGAGACGAGAATTAACATTAAGATCAATTTGGAAACCATTAGTGATCTGTGGCCAGATAATGTATTTATGTACTGTTTGATTGATTTGGACCTCCAGCAGCGACTAGGATCCAAATAAATTGCATATTATGTTTGATATATGTTCTGGGGTTGGTAGGGCCTACCCTAATTTGAAAGCTGCAACACTTGTCATTTCGAAGATGTGATTTTTTTCTTCGCCAAAAACCTGTTTTTGAAAATAATGCTCTGTCCCCAGTCATATCAGTCAGTATCAGCCAGTCTTGTATATTTTTTTCTTAGAATATATCACCATCAGTTATTTACGGTCCATAAGGTGTTCAATAAGTTGTAAAATTGTTTTTCATTTGTTGAAAATCATCGAATTTGACCAGTCTGTTAACTTAGTTACGTAGCCGCTCCTATGATATAAATAATGATAAATGTAACTGAGTCACATAAAAATAACTAAAAACATTCAGCTTCCAATAAATTTATTTGATATGACAGAAAGGTGTGCAATATATGATCACGACTGTATTTATCTAATCTTGTTAACATAAAATTTAATGTTGATCAAAGATGATACTTTTTATCAATGAGAAAACGGGGTCAGAAATAAGGGAAATGAAATGGGGTTTAACGCCCTACTGTTCTGCTCCGACTGGCCTAACGAAGACGGCCATACGCCATACAGTCTGCTATAAGGGAAATTTTGCCTGGACAGCGGCGTTATGGCCTACTCTTATATCGCATTCCAACTGCCAAGGGATCTTTTACGTACACGCCAATGTGTACTAAGATCTCTGATTTTGGTCACATCCGAACGACTAGACGTTGTCACATGCCGGGCCATTCGGGACTAACACATGGTTCAATTTTATTTCAATAATTCGCTTGCGTGTAGGGGCCTTTAGCAGTGGGAGGAAACCGGAGGACCCACTGAACGAGAAACCACACCGGAAATTCCCATTGCACCTTCTCGGTCCAACCCACGTCTTACGCACTGAAAAACCAAACACCTTACCTGGAATCATCCAAACAAATTTACCTGTATCGTATAAACAAGGTTTTTTTAATTATTGGACATTTCTTCAAATGCCTCAAATTCTTCTTGATTTAAAACACCATCGTCTGTAAAACAGTTGAAAATAAAAATATATTTTAATCTATGTGTTTTGTGTGTGTGTGTATTGGGAGGGGGGGGGGGCATCCACGTCTTTCCTTAATTATGATTAATATACATCTTCCATTTTCATCTTTCTTAATCCGGAACTTGCATCATCCTCTATTTGTGAGGTTGTGGGTGAGTTCATAAAGAAAGAAATATCCTTTGATGCTGATGACTGAATACGTGTATCCTCTAAATAGTCGGTGTTCATCTCCTAGATACAGGCTACATGGTAATTACAATGTTACATGTAGATATCAGCATCTCGTTTACCCACTACCCGAAAGAATGCACTAGCTGTCCGTCTAATCCTCCAACCTTCAATAGACTGGACCAGAACAAGAACAGCGAGGGTTAGAATCAACAACTTCATTCTGTTAAACAACAAGATTTTATATACATTGACTTACTATATAAACAGTATGTGGTATCAGGTGGTCTGGAAAGGGTCAGGTGGTATCGGGTGGTCTCGAGTGTAAGCCACAAAAGGGTCATCACGAGATCAAGTCAAACAAATGACACACAGCTCTGGGGCCGTTTGCTTAAAACTAAGTTATTTAAACGATCTGTTAAACTCTAACGGATCGTTATCTTGCTAACGTCAATTTCGTTATCCGTTAGCTAAGGGACTGATTAAAGTTAATCCAAGAGAAGACTGTTTGTTCATTGGCTGAATTTTAATGTTTTAAATTCAATGTAGAAGTTAGCATTAACACGAAACTAAAAACAGTTGGACGACTTTGTAGAATTTACTACAGAAAAAAATATAAAAACTGTTGAATAATTTATTTTTCCTTTAGAAATATTAGCAAAAATCTGTAGGAAAAATCATGGGATTTGCACTAAAGAAACTAGAATGTTTGGGACCATTATTTCCTACAGTCACCCCCCCCCCACCCCCCGAAAAAAAAAATAATTGGGGTAGAATAGTATATAATGTCATCCTATTGAAAATGGAATAGCCTAAAATAGAAAATTACACTGGTAATCTATGACAGCCGACATATTCCATTGTTGAACAGATAGCGGAGCCCAACACCCCCGTTTTGCTTCCATTAACGATAACGATCCATTAACTCCATGTTAACGAGTCGTTAAAAGTTAACGGGGCTTTGAGCAACCGGGAGGGGAGGGGAGGGGAGGGAGGTTAGGGGAGGGGGGGGGTCGGATGGCTGAATGGTTAGCGTGCGCGCGCTGTATCATAAAGTCTGTCATTGAGTCAACTGGCGTGGTTTCGAATCCCCGGTTGTACGTGGCAAGGAGTAGGGTCGCCTGTCCAACCTCGTGGGTTTTCTCCGGGTCCTCCGGTTTCCTCCCCCTGCTAAAGACTCCTACGCGCAAGCGAATTATGTAAATAAAATTAAACCATATGTTAGTCCCGAAATGACCTAGTTTGTGTCGAGTGGACGTTAAACCCAGTTTTTCTCTCTCTCTCTCTCTGAGCAACCGGCCTCTGGGCAGCATCCGTGTGTTGTGTTTTAGTATTTCTATTTCTATTGTAGAAATGGGGTTTAACTTCCTACTGTTCTGCTCCGAAATGGGCTAATGAAGACGGGCATACACCATACAGTGTGCTACGAGGGAAATTGCGATCTTTTACGTGCACGCCACGTCCCAACCGAACGACTAGACAGTTGTCCTGGTCAGACCTTCCGCCCTGTACCATTGACAAGGGTTAACCAAGCCGCAAAATCGCGATGAACTTCTCGGCTAACACCAGGATCTCGAACACCCAACCTCTAGACTAGTGAATCAGCATCTTACAGGCCCGTAACTAGGGGGGGGGGGCGTAGGGAGGGCAAAAAGTTTGCCCCCCCCCCCCCCGTGAAAAAATTTTGGACCATAAAAAAAATAGATATACATTGTCCGTCAATATTACAGCACCCCCGAGAACACTTCCCGCCCCCCTCGTTGCTCTGACTTGTTGATTGAAAACAAGATCAAAGGGTTTTAAATAAGTTAATAAAGTGTATTCCTTGACCAAAGAAACATACGATTAGACACGAAATTATCATCCTAGAGTAAATACTATGGGAGCTATAAGGGATTATTTGATGTGGCGGCCGTCTTGGACGCCATCTTGAATTTCTCAAAACGCCCAAGGGTGACCGAGGTTCACCCGGCAGATTCTGAACGAGGACACCCTAGGTTACTAAAATCAATCATAAAAAAACTTTGTATACTATTTCCAGGTTCAGCCATAGGTCTGCCGGACTACTAAGAGAGAATATTGCAACTCACTGAGATGTCAATTGATCTTTGAAATCGAAAGATGAATGCTGCAACTGTGGCAAGTCATT